ATACGGCATCACATTACACTATGCGGATGCTGCCTGGTTGGACAGTATAAACGCTCTTTGTACAAAGGCAGATTATCAATTTTAAAAAAATAAGTATTCATTAATTGTGCTCGTAAGGTCAACCGAGGCACATCCGGCTTTGCACTATGATATCCATTTTGAACGGCACAAAACTTTGCTGCCACAGAAGCTGCTGCCATTGATACATTGTGAAAGTTTATTCTTGTCGTACGTCTTTACTGTCGACCTTGTACTCTGCATCACGTCATCATAGCTTCACAAGCTGTCTTTGAAGAAGCCAGAGAGAGTGTGTGCAAGATATCGTGGAATGTGATACTTCTGTTTCTATTCAAGAAATTATGATCCCTTGTTTTCTAGCATTGTAGCAAGAAAGTAATATTTGAAATTATCGTAATTATAAGAGCAAGGAGAGAGTAAGTCGAGGAAATTGGTCCTCATATAGCTAAAAGGTTGACGTGCAGCTCCTCCCTTTTTGCTAAATATTACAGGGTACTTATCCCAAGTGGTTTTCCAGCACGATCTTTACGAATCTTGAAGCTGAGCAACAAAATGTTAACATGACTTCGCCTGAGGTCTTCATTTCTATACTTTCTTACCTCCAACAAAGCTTACCATGAAGCTTTCTCTCACTTTCTCGTTTGCTGCTGTGACTGTCACGTCATCTTGTGCTACTGCCTCTGTGGTCGACAATCATCACGAACACGCTAGTATTCGTCACAATACTTTGCCGTGTACTGACGCACTATGCGATGATGGCTACCCTCCTGTGTGCGGTTTCGGCAGCAAAACTTACCCCAACGCGTGCATCTATCAGGCGACTAACTGCCGCACCAATGTCACGATGGCTTATTCAGGGCCTTCTCGTGATAACCAGCGGGTACACTTGTCAGCATCGGCAACCTCATTAAACGAGAAATCGCCTTTAATTTGCGACCATACTCATTCAGCTAACGAAGAACGGCATACATCTTTTCGTCCAGAGATCCCAAGTTCGTTTATCTTCATATCTCATGATTCTGAAAGGCAAAGAGTGTTGCATTTATTCAGCAAGGCTACCAGTATTGAAGATCTTTCTGATAATCTGGTACATCCCTACATCTTCCTCGAGGTGCTGTATAGGCAATTTCTCACCCGTGATTTTGAATCTCTTGGAGCTACGAGGTTTTTGGGTATGAGAGCGAACATCCTTGTTCGGAACACTTTGTTCAAACCACCGAAAAAGTCGAAAAGGTTGACAAAAGCAGGTAAAAAGGCTAAATAACTCCTTGCACAGCTTCCAACTTACTATTACAAAGATTATGTAAAATATGCCGAGTACTATAACAATACTCATCCTTTCAAAGTGATAACAACACATTGAATCTAATCAAAGACAGATCTTGAGGTCGTAGCACCATTAACTTAGCTAGTGTATGTGCTCCGCTGTAAAGACTAAAACCATATTTGTTTATGTTAAAATGTTTTCGTTATCTACTCCAAAGCAGCTACCATAGACTACATTATGCAATCATCAACCAAAAGACATTCAATAATTGATTTCTATTGAAAATATCTTTTTTTCTCAATGTGACTATTCACGTCTCATTTACCAGAATACATTCCGTAAATATTGTAACTTTCAGACTGCGTGGTTGCTGTTTCCTCTCATTACAGCATTATTTCCGAGCTCTTCTTTTTCTGTCCTTGTCGCTGAGCTCGCCACGCTGCTCGCTTCCGCCAGCAAAAATCCAAATCTGTACGACCGCCTTCAAGCCGAAGCGCCATTACTATTTGGTGTTAATCTCTGTGATTACGATAATGAGTGGGTGCTTGATGTTCTTTCGCTATGCTTTCGGTTGAGAGAAGAGTGCTTCTCAGTTCAGATCAAATTTAAACCACTTCACAATCATCGAGCGTAACTTACGTGACAGCTCATGTTAACATCGGATTTAGCTTAGTCACATAGGACAATGCTATTTTCAGGGATACCGACTAATAATAGACAAAATCTACCAGCATTATTTCTTTTGTCGATTATAACTTGATCCCAAAAACTGCTTCATGCACGATACCTTGATTCTGTATATGCTGGCAAGCAAATTGTAGATATGTCGTTTTCAGACTGAAAACGAAAATGTGTAGTTAGTAGCTGTGTCATTAGGCCAAGTGCAGTGTCCACGTTTAATGGTAAATTAAGAACGAGCTCTATCTACTCGTTGTTGGTGGCAATGGATTTGTTGACCGCAATATCTTGCAGCTGCCGCTTAAAAGGGTATAGAAGAGCGCCGCGTACTAAAAGTTGTGCTCATATACTTTCCTCATCAGGTGGTATACACAATTCTACACTACTGGACTCTTACGTATCATCGCTAATTTTAGGTTCCGGGTTGCGAGTTTGGGTTGAGTCTGCCCTTCCGGTGGAGACAATGAAAATGGCTGCGTATGTTCGTCTTAATGAGGCCACTTCCTTTGAAGGGATTTCTTAGAATTTTATTTAAGCTTATAACGACTATTTCACTGACAAATTTTTCTGCCTCATCTTTTTTTATGATGAACAGCTGGTTTACTTTGCAGGCTCTCGATTTTGCTCCTGGATGAAGCTAAAAATTCCATCCTCTGCGTGCTTGCTCACGCGCTTATTTAGGTCAAAGCCACTTTGGCGAGAGGTGCATGTCAACCTTTTTGAAGTTAGCAGCATTTATCGTCAGTTCGAGAACCGAGTCTGAATAAGTCTTTACGAACTGGCAAGGGTGTTCAACAATCTTTCCACGAGACAATAAGACACACCAACTCAAATTCTGTATCTGTCATCAGTTTATTCTGAGGAGAGAGCGTAACATCAGTTGTCGAAAGCGGGTATTGTTCGCCTCGGAGATTTTCCAGATATATAGTAGTCTATATCCTCCGCCTTTAGTTGAGCACTCCGACTCCGTTCTAACAGCGGAGGGTTAAACGAACCCCCGCTACGGACGTTACAACAAGGTCCAGATCGTCTCGTCAAAAGCTGTCCACCATACCGCAACGGAGCCCTTACACTCCTATGCATGCGAGCTTTTCGCTCAGCGCTAAAAAGTCGCTCTGAGAGCGCTTCTACACCTCAAGGTACCATTCCTCAGGAATGTTGGAAACATGTTAAGTCGTACTTAAGTAAACCAGGAGGAGTTATGAAACTCCCAACGATTTGCATAATTAGCAGCTATAAGCATAATACATTTACTTGGAAACTTACCTTCAAACCACCAGGTCCTTCCT